ATTTATATTGTCAGTGTTTTGTTTCGACTGCTTTTCGTCAAATAAATTTTTCGTTTTGATTTCAATTTTGGTTATTTTCATACGAAATTTTACTTTACTAATTTAAGATTTGATTAGATGCTATCAGGCATATTTTTTTTTGCCTTCACTCATAATTTGTCACAACATTTAACGAAATAAATAATTACAAAACTAACCCATCAATTGCAATAACAACAGAAGCAATAATAATCTTAATTTAAGTTGTGTTATTACAAAACCTGCATGGCACGTAGCCGAGTGTTTTAAATGTTCGCTTTCTGACCATGAGGCCCGGGTTCGAATCTCGCCATAGTCTCTTTGCCAGGAAGAAGACTTTCTGATAGTATCGGACTGGATTGGTCGATCCCAGCTTGAAAGCCATACCATGATTTGACCCAAACCTTGTGAGTGAAATTAGGTAGCACGAAATCGCAAGTCAATATGACTTGAGCGTACTGGCCTGGTTCAAAGTGTTTCTGTTCCAGAAACTGCAGTATAAACCACAGATGTGTTCTGCGGGTGTTCAGAAAACACAAATGTTCCTGAGCGAACGTCTACAGTAGGGATTGGCTAGCCGCGCTAGTAGACGGGTATCCTCGAATACGAGTGACCAGCTATACATACATGTCATGTGCCATGCGTTTCGATACATGACTGACAAGGCAGATTTTTTTTCCCGCAGCAGGTTGCCATTTCTTTCTGCGGTAGACCATCGGTCTGTCCTGCTACTTACTCAAGAAGAGGATTCATAAGAGAGTATTAGCACGAAAGTGAATGTAATGGATTTGACTGAAATTCGAACACGATTCTCCGATTCCCCAATCCGAGCCGCTATCCATTACTCCACCTAAAATTCCTTACAGGTAGGGAATTTTAATATTTCTATCGTAAAGTCTCTGTTCGCTGTTTGAATGACACACCGAATAGTCTCTCGCAAGTTTGGTTCCAGAGATTACTGGCGGCTATGTGAGAGTGTTTTGAACAAGGATAAATCCTCAGCATCTGCTCTCTTCAGTCATTTTAAAGTATTGTGATCTGCACGGGAAGTATTTTCCAACCTCCTTCGCAACTCTTCAGCAGTATATTTGCCTGATTTTCCTTCTCTGCCCATGATTTCTGCTATCAGCTACAATCTAGATCCCTAAAAGTTTTGCGGACCTGACGATATCCTTGTAATTGTCCTAAGGAAATGTACTTTTAAACTGGCCACTTTTCTGTCCAAACTCTGAAATATTCTTCTGTAGTTCCTGTATTTAAGAACTCTGGTAAAGCTTCTGACTACTCAAATAATAGTTTTTTTTTACCAATTTTACCTAAAGTACCAGGACATCTAATCAACTCTGGTTTGGTTATGCATCTCTCTTCATACGACTTTCTTTAAGATGGCTTTCGTTTCACTTGGTTAAAAGACGATTTACTAACTGTTATCACTTAAGTCAGTCTTTAGATAAGGCTCATGCTGTGGCTTTAGATATCTCGAAAGCGTTTGACAGGGTTTCGTAGAGTGACCTTCAACAAGCTCAAGGACAATGGTGTATCTAGCCGGATATTTGACTTAATCCAATAGTTTTTGACAAATCGAGTAATGAAGATCAAATTGAACGACCACTCTTCTAGATCATTTCACATTAATCCAAGTGCCCCCCCCCGCCAAAGCGCAATCCTTGTACCTACTTTGTTTTTTTATGTTGATCAACGACCTCCCGATATCTTCAGTTACCGACTAGATATTTATGCTAATGACACAACTATTTAGTCCTGTTATAAATGTTAAGACCTATAGTCTCGGCAAAATAAAACTGACAGCTGCTTTCGAAAATTTCCTTCAATTAGTTGTTAACTGGGGCAAGAAACGGTTTGTAAATTTTAACGCTTCCAAAATGTAAATGATATCCTCTAATCATCGTAGAGAAGTGTTTTTACCCTCCATCAGCATGTCTGATGCTAACCATCACCAGGACAACGCATTGCATCTTCTTAGGCTCACGTTTTTCTACTAACATGAAGTGCAGTGGTTGTTTTGAATCAATTGCTAAGAAAGTTGCTTCATTGTATTGCGCCAGACAATTTTTCTTCTCAGATTCCATAAATCTACCTTTCATCCATGCACTGAATTTTGCAACCATATCCCATCATATTTTCCGGTTTTATATTTAGAGATTCTTGATAAAATCCTAACAAGAATCTGCAATATTATTGGTCGTGACGCGACATGCCCTATAACTTTATTTTTCGATGTACGGTGGCCGTTAATAATGAAGTATATCTCAAGACTTAAATGTTAAAATAAGACAGTATTTAATTATAAGCGCAAATAAATACTTAACAAGAACAAAGAAGTAAAAGTCAATCAAAGATAGCGCGCTTGAATTAACGTCCAGTAAATCCTAAAACAAAACCCAAATCATAATTCACACTAATTCGACTGGATAGTTCCACACAGTAGTCACTCAATAATCGCTCCAGATAGTAGCCTGACTCCTCTATTTATACATCTGGCGGAAAACATATATTTATAAGTCCAGAGTGTTACGTTCAACCCTCGTTGTCGGTAGTTATTCATTTTCTTATATGACAAAGATACAGATATGTTCAATAATTTTAAGTTAGTTAGCACTTGACAAAGTGTTTTTCCGTAAGAACGAGAAGATTTTTTGTGATGCGTAGTGTCCGTTAATAATTAAGTATATCTCAAGATTTCAGTGTTATGATAAAACAGTATTTAATTACAACCTCAAACAAATACTTAACAAGACAAAGGAATTAAAAGTCAACCAAAGACAATTAACCATTTCAGTGAATACCTTGTCAGTAGACCCGCTCGCCTTAACATCCGGTAATATCTAAATCAAAACCCGAATCATCGACGCACACATAATTCACACTAATTCCACTGGATAGTTCCACTCAATAATCACTCCATAATCACTCCAGTCAGTAGCCTGACATCACTATTTATACACCTTGCGGAAAATATATATTCATAAGTCCAGATTGTCAGGCTCGAACCTCGTTGAAGATAGTTACACATTGACTTCCTATATGACACTTTACTATGAATCATTTTATGGCAGTTGTTCTAATTAGCTTCCCTCCTTGACCACAACTTCCATTACAGGAATTCAAGTATAATACCAGATTAGCCACCACGCCTCATCCTTTTATTGTTGAAATAGCTAGAGGTAACTGTATGTTCTGTTCCAAAAGTTTCTTTTCACGCCTATGGAATTCTTTTGCCCTTTCTTGTCCCCCTGCAACCTACAATATTCAAAAATTTAAATGCAACAACAAACGTTATCTTCTGTCTCCTAATTGTTTTTTATTGTCCTTTCTTCTCACTAATGATCCCTTGCATTTCAGTTGCATTGTCCCCTTTCTTAGGATGAAATGAAACGTTTTAAATTGGTTGGGTTAATACTTGAGTCTATATTTGTCGGGTTTATACGTGAGTCTATAGGCAAATATAGGTTGGGTTTATACTTAAGTCTATAGGCAAACATTGGTTTGTTTAATCCTTGAGTCTATAGGCAACATTGGTTTGGTTTATACTTGAGTCTATGGGCAAAAATTTGTCGGGTATATACGTGAGTCTATCGACAAACATTGTTCGTTTTTATACTTGAGTCTATAGAAAAAAAAACTTCGTTGGGTTTATACTTGAGTCTATAAGCAAATATTGGTTGGGTTTATACTTGAGTCTGTAGGCAAACATTAGTTGAATTTATACTTGAGTCCATAGGCAAACACTGGTTGCATTTATACTTGGGTCTATAGGCCAACATTGGACGTGTTTATAGTTCAGTCTATAGGTAAACATTAATCGTATGTATACTTGAGTCTCTTGGTAAATATTGGTTGTGTTTATACTTGAGCCTATCGACAAACATTGGTTGTTTTATACTTGAGTCTATAGGCAAAATTTGATCGTGTATATACTTGAGTCTATAGGTAAACGCTGGTTGTAATTATACTTGAGTCTATCGACAAACATTTGTCGTGTTTATACTTGAGCTTATAGGCAAATTTGATCGTGTTATTCTTGAGTCTATAGGCAGACATTGGTCGGGTTTATACTTGAGTCTATAGGCAAACTTTACTAGAACTTATACTTGCATCTAAATGCAAAGATTGATCGAGTATATAATTTATTTATTGGTCGGGTATATACAATATGCTTTATGCAAAGTGTATACTTGATTCTATAGTTAAAAATACGCTGGGGTTACACATGCTTCTGCAAATAAACATTGTTTGAGTTTATACTCCAGTCCATCTGAAGTGGCTGAAATGCACTGGTTCGATTGAACTGAAATAAAGAGGCGGTCCCAGAGGGAATTGTAATAGACTTCTTGGCAGCTTTAAATGATTTCGGCATAGATTATAGAAATAATAAATGAAATCTTAAGTAGTTGTGATATACCAGAAGACCTAAGTAGATCTATTTTCTGTCTCGGAAGCCAACTCCAAAAGAATGTGAACTTGATCGTACAGTCAGCCTAGTGAGCCATATAACAAAACTCATGATTCGAATTCTGATGAATATAGCGCGCAGCAGAATCAGACCGGAAATAGCAAAAGAATAGTTCGTTTCGTCAAAGACAATGGAGCAATGAACGAGATATTTCTACCCAGAATGTTACCAAAAAGGGCATACAAATGCAGAAGGACGTGTAGCTGTGTTTTATAGATTACGAAAAGGCGTTCGATATTTTATACCCATTCGTTCCTTTCTTTCTTTCTTTATTTCTTTCTTTCTGTCTTTCATTCTTTCTTTCTACTCTGTTGTTGCTATTATTTCTTTTTTCACTATTTTATGTTCCTTCCCTCCTCCCTTCTTTTTATCCTTTCTTTCTTTCTTTCTTTCTTTTTACTCTGTTTTTGCTAGTATTCCTTCTTTTACTATTTTATATCCTTTCGTTCCATTATTTCTTTCGTTATTTCTACTCTATTCTTGCTATTATTTCTTCTTTCACTATTTTATGTTCCTTCCCTCTTTCCTTACTATCTTTCTTTCCTTGTTTCTTCCTTGCTTCCGTTCTTTCTTTCTTTCTTTCTTTTTACTCTGTTCTTGCTCGTATTCCTTCTTTCACTATTTTATGTTCCTTCCCTCATTTCTTTCTTTCTTTCTTTTCTTTCTTTCTTTCTTACTTACTTATTTTCTTTCTTTCTTTCTTTCTTTCTTTCTACTCTGTTCTTGCTATTATTCCTTCTTTCATTGTTTTATGTTCTTTCCCTCCTTCCTTACTCTCTTTCTTTTTTTCTTTCCTTCTTCCTTTCTTTCTTTATTTCTTTCTTTTTACTCTGTTCTTACGCGTATTCCTTCTTTCACTATTTTATGTTCCTTCCCTCCTTCCTTACTATCTTTCTTTCTTTCTTTCTTTTATTCTTCCTTCCTTCCTTCCTTCCTTCCTTCCTTCCTTCCTTCCTTTCTTTCTTTTTTTCTTACTTTTTACTCTATTCTTGCTCGTATTCCTTCTTTCACTATTTTATGTTCCTTCCCTCCTTCCTTATTTACTTTTTTCTTTCTTTCTTTCTTTCTTTCTTCCTTCCTTCCTTTCTTTTTACTCTGTTCATGCTCGTATTCCTTCTTTCATTATTTTATGTTCCTTCCCTCCTTCCTTACTTTCTTTATTTCTTTCTTTATTCCTTCCTTCCTTCCTTTCTTTCTTTCTTTCTTTCTTTCTTTTTACTCTGTTCATGCTCGTATTTCTTCTTTCATTATTTTATGTTCCTTCCCTCCTTCCCTCCTCCCCTCATTCTATTCTTTCTTTCTTTCTTTCGTTCTTTCTTTTTTCTTTTTATTCTATTTTTGCTCGTATTCCTTCTTTCACTATTTTATGTTCCTTCCCTCCTTCCCTCCTCCCCTCCTTCTATTCTTTCTTTCTTTCTTTCGTTCTTTCTTTCTTTCTTTCTTTCTTTATTTCTTTTTACTCTGTTCTTGCTCGTATTCCTTCTTTCATTATTTTATGTTCTTTCCTTCCTTCAGTCCTTCCTTTTTTTTCCTTCCTTTTTTCTTTCTTTCTTGTAAGTTCTTGTTTACTTTACACCCCTTCAACATTTTTTTCTTTCTTCTCTCCTCCTCTCCGGTGTTTCTGTTTTCCGTTATCCTCCCTCACACCCACCCCACCACTCTTCTCCCATAGTCGAAGTCATTCTCTCTCTCTCTCTCTCTCTGTCTCTCTCTCTCTCCCACCACTCTCTTAAATTAAACGTTGACATTTTCACATTACTCTACAGTACTTTCCGATCTGCCACCCTCCCCCAAACTCAATCAAAGAACATTATCATACGTTCCACTTCTGTCTCTCTACAATGATAGTGCTGCAAAATAACTGACCGACACGCCCGACTATCAAAAGCTTCGCTCCGTCTTTCACTCAGTTCCTCATTCTTTCAAAAGAATTCGGGATCTTCCGAATGTCGCTCTCTACCGCCGCCCACTTCACTGAACCCAGATCATTAATCAAGACATCATTAGATGGGTCGAGACCCGATTAATCTTTTTTTTCTCTACTTAGAGCCGTTTTGGAGGCAAACAAAGGGGGTTACTGCGGAGAAAACAATGGTCTGTCTGGTAGTAGACTGGTAGGGCACAAGTAAACCGTTCGAAGCAATCTCAGAGCCCATAATTCACTTGTCTGGCCAAAAGACGAATACAATGAAGACACAAGTGAAAACAATAACAGTCGTTAGAAATCCCTTGTCTCTATTTTATGGCCTACATTTGGCTATATTCCTGTTCTTTTCATTTACGTATTTATTAAAATCATTTTGTCTTCATTCATTTACTTACTCACATTCATCTCCTGTGTCCTCATGCAAGGGAAACGTAATTACAAAGCGTGCGAATGGATCGGTTTTGCGTGTTTGCGTGTGTACGGGTTTGCGAGACGGCGGACGAAGATTCGCGTCGCGGAGAAAGGAAAATATTGTGCGGGCAAGATGCTTGCTGTGTGCAAAAGTTTCAAGCGGGAAAACAATTTATGCAACTATGTATTCCGTTTTTAGTTTTTAAAATAGAATGCCGGAAATGTCTGCATGCACCTCAAATATACAGAGAGAGAGAGAGTTTTTTTGAAAATTCTTTTATAAAAAAAACGAACTTTTTAGAAAAGAGAGAAACATAAAGGTACGGAACATAAAAAGATAGAGAAAATCTGAAAGAATAGAAAAGAAATTTATTTAAGGTGAAAGAGAAAGAGAGAAAGAATGAGAGAAAGAAAGAAAGATTCTCACAGAAAAGGATAAAGAAAAGTGAAAAGTTTTGGATGTATCAATAATGCGAAAACAGACAGAAAAAAAGCGAATTCAGAGGAGAGAAAGGAAGAGATTTGAAATGACAAAACATAAAGAGAAAGAAAGATAAGGAGAAAAGAACAGAGAAAAGAGAGAAACGAAAATTTTAGATAGAACATTCAAAGAAAATTTGCATACATAGTTTAAAAATTTGGCATGTTTGAGAATGCATTTATATTTAAAATTCAGTTTGGTCACCATGGTAACCATTAAGTTACATATCAATCGCATCTACATGCAGTTTGACTCCATTCTATTTACTATATATATATATATATATATATATATATATATATATATATATATATATATATATATATATATATATATCTCAGAGGGAGAAAAAAGGTATTTTCAATTCATTCAATTTAGTCTTTCCACTTCATAAATAGGTACATAAGATAATTTTCTCACACTTAATTATTGTAAAATAATAATTAAGCGCACAAATATCCTTTTTATATATATATATATATATATATATATATATATATATATATATATATATATATATATATATATATATTCAATAATTCTTCTTCTCCTTCTTTCTATATATATATATATATATATATATATATATATATATATATATATATATATATATATATATGTATATATATATATATATATTTATTGTGGATTTCCAGCTTGTTCACTCCATCGTGCTCCATTTTTTTTCTCCCAGAATCTATTTTACATATTTATAAGTCTAACATTCGTCCTTGCTTTGAATATTGCTACCATATTTGGTTTGGTGTTCCTGCTATACATTTAGCGATTCTTGATAAAATTCGAAGAAGAATCTGCAATATTATTGGTCTTGAACTAAAAACTCGGCCTCAGTATCTTTCCTAATGCCGTAACGTAGCTTCCCTGTGCCTTTTTCTGTAAATAGTTTCTGGGTAATTTTTCTGAGGTACGTTCCTCTATGGTACCTAAACTTTATGAATTTAAGCACAATACAAGATTGGCGGCAAGGTTTTCTCATTTACAGTTAAAATGTCTAGATGTAACCGTAAGTTCTATGCTAACAGTTTCTTCTCCCGAATTTGTGGAAATCTCGTCCGGATTCTTGATTTACAGTCAACATCGAGCTTCGAACATTTAAATGCAATGTCAATCGTTATCTTCTGTCTACTTGATTATTGTTCTTTTCTTTTTCTCTCTCCTTAATGGTGTTTTTTTTTTTCTCATATTCTTTAACGCTTAGTAATCCTTTGCATCTTAGTGTCTTTATTGCCTTGCCTGGGGTGAAATAAGAAAAAAAAGCACCAAAGATTAATTTAATAAGTATTGAACATAAGAACGTACAGAAAAGAGTTATACTTTTATGCGTTGTGGTGTAATGAATATCGGCTCGGATTGACAACTCGGAGAGGCGAGTTCGAATTCCAGTCGCGTCCGTTAGATTCACTTACGCACAAATACCTTTGGGAAAGGTATGAATACATCTCTTCCCCCAGATATGGATTAAATAGCAGGAGAGACTGGATTCTTTAGCCTTGGTTGGCAACCAGTCTAAAACACAAAAAATGGCAACCTGCTGTTTCGAATTCCAGTCGAGTTCGTTAGATTCAGTTACGCACAAATATCCTTGGAAAAGGCATGAATACATCTCTTCCCTCCACCTATGGATTAAATAGCAGGATAGACTGGATTCTTTAGCCTTGGTTGGCCACAAGTCTACCACACAAAGAAATGGCAACCTGCTGCTTCAAATTCCAGTTGAGTTCGTTAGATTCAGTTACGCACAAATACCCTTATCCCTCTGCCTTCCAGCTATGCATTGAACGTAGGGGGACACCCAGTGAGGATCGAACTCACTAATCAGCCGTTATTGTTCTAGCGACTCAAGCTCGCTAATCACTACACCGTCTCAAGATGTCCAAAGAATCTCTAGATATATAGCAGCAGCACCAGACCAGAAGGGACAGCAATATTCTATGATAAGACAAATGGTATACTTATAAATGTGTAAGATGGATTCTGTCGTGAAAAAAATTATCTAGCACGACACAGTGAACAATCTTTCTCAGCATAGAAATTTTAGGGTTTTCCTATTTTAATTTTATGATGGATCTTAATCCATAATTCAGTGAATGAATTCGCCTATAGCGAATACCAAGACTGTAAAATACTTGTGCAAATTCCTGTTGCATCGTTAAATATTTGAACTAAACATCTTTATGGAAATTGGCAAGAATTTCCATTTCAATGAAGCAGACGTCAAACGCATGAGAGCGTTATTACATCTCTTAACTTCCCTTTTTTCATTCCTTTGTCTTCTTCTTATGCGCAGCTTCTTATGTGGCGCAAGGTCGAAAATATGGAGCACTCATAGGACCGAAATCACTGTTTAGTCATAATTGATCTATCGAGACAAGCTTACTAACCATTACCGCAAATGCCCAAATAATTTTCTAAGCGTAGCTTAGATGTGACATAATGGCGAAACTATGGAACTCCCAAGAAGAACCGAATTCAATACTCAGTGGTAATTGATTCAGCGAGACAAGCTTGGTGTTCACGGATTACACCGCGTCGAAGTGTTCCTTACTTATCATTATTACAGTGATTTTCTAAGTGTAGCTTAGGTGTTGCAGAAGGCCCAAAGTATGAGGCACACAGTAAGGATTGAACTCACGTCTTTTTTTTTCTTTTTATGTGTCATGTCCTTTCAGGACGTAAGCGATCATGGCTCTCCCTCTTTCTCTATCCCTTGCAGCTCTCAACAAGTATCTTCCCTCTGCTACCTCCGCCAGACCATGTTCTCTCATCCACCTGCTCAAGCCCTTCAGGAATGTCACACGTTGGTTTCCCTTTTCTCATTTTCCCTCTATTCGACCCGTGAGTATCAGATTCTCCAGGCCCTCCTTCCTCATTATATGTCCCAGTAACTCAGCTGCCTCTTCCTTATGTTAAGCATGGGCCTCCTTCTTGTCTGTATCCTCTCCAAGAGCTCATCGTTGCTCACACGCTCAGTCCACGAAATTCTCAGCATCCTTCTGTAGAACCACATCTCCGTCGCCTCGAGTCTCTTCTTCCTCTTTGAGGAAATCGTCCAGCATTCGTTGCCGCAAAGAAGGACAGATGTCACGTAAGAGCTCAGTATTCTTTTCTTTGTTACCAAAGAAATCCTCCTGTCTCGCAATACTCTTTCCAGCTTTTGGAATGTGTCCTTGGCCATCCCAATACGTTTTACGGATCTTGGAGTCGCTACTCAGTCGTAACTGATCTAGTGGACAAGACTGCTAAACGTTACATCATCTCGAAGTGAATCTGTCTTATTGATATGTACAGTGATTTTTTAAGTTTAGCTTAGGTTTGTCACTAGACAGAAAATATAGAAAACCCAGCGAGGGTCGAACTCACTACTCGGTCGAAATTGTTCTAGAGGGATGAAATACCCTTGTCTTATTGTTATTATATGTGCCAAGGGTCGGCAACTTACGGATCCGGCCCGCGAAGGCATTTTGACCGGCCCGCGAGCCTGATTACCAATGACTCTATTTTTAGACTATCTGCCAGTTATCTTTCATGAGACTTATTTTACCAAGTTGCGTTGCCTACGTTTAATGTCAAATAATGGATACATATTTGTTATGACCCTTGGCTACATTAAAAGATAACAGAAGCGAAATGAACGATAAAATGAAAGAGGCCAGGAAGGGACTGACATGCGAGGTAGCAGAAATCTAAAGACAGTTAAACATATGCGCCTTATACATACATGCCTCATGAATGTGTGGGTGATACCGCATGTGTACGTACGTAAGTGTATATGTTTGCAACTATTTGTACTCGTATGTATGGATATATGTGCTTCGTTTTTTGTTTGATGTGTGTGTGTGTGTTTCGTTTGTGGAACAATTTTCAATAACAGTTTCAAACCTACACGTCATAATTTCATCCATTTCACTTCGGTTGATTTTTTTTTTACTTTGAAGTATTTTGACGTTCCTTGAGGAAAAGTAATTTTTTTTAGGTGTTTTTTATTTTTTAGATTTTCTTTTGTTTTTTGATTTTCAATGTTTATTTTCATTATGGTTTTAAATATTTAGGTTGACAGGGGTCTGCATATGTAATTTTCCTTAATTTTTCTTTAATGGCCTTCGTCTGGCCCGCGACCCGTCATTATAACCCAATCCGGCCCGCGGGGGTCAATGAGTTGCCGACCCCTGATATATGCATTCTTTTTCTCACTAAAATCAAACGGTGTCTCTGATATTGTCTATTTGGTCTTTCATCGCAATCACAACGGCATGGTTAATTATTTATCTGTGGCAATGGCAGGGAGTGACGCCCATACTGACATACTAACTGACGGCTCTACAAGCAGAATTATCATGATACAACTGACTTTTTTTTTTCACGGAATGTGTAAACTGGCTTTTGTATTCTTACCGTACGTTTGCGTGCAAGGTGTTTCGACGGGGTATAAAACAAGAAAGAAATAAAAACTGAAAATAAAAAAAAAGAAAGCAAATGGGATTTCTAAAGACGAGGAATGCGTAATGGAGTTGCGGAGGATTTGTTTGCAAAAGTATTGCAACGGAAAACCAGAGATTACGTCCGTCATTTCCTTATCTAAATTAGAGTTCTGCCATTAGCCAGGGAGAAGGTCGATGCTGAGCGCGGTGTCGGGAATCCTCACACTCATGAGAAAACGCAATGGCGACAGGAGGCAAGAATTCTGGTAGTGGCTTTTTCCGGGGACAATTCCAGGGGATTTAATCTTAAGACATTGAATGAAAAATGACTTTTTTTTTCTTTTTCTTTTTTTTTTTATTTGTTATTTTGGCTCCAATTAAAGAATTTCTTGAACTGATTCTGGCGAACAAGTAAAAAGAAGGAAATGATAAAACTGAACTAAATTTAAACAAACAAACAAAAAAAAAAACTGGATTTCCCTACAGGATGAAAGTGATCACGGCTCTCCACAGATACCTTTTCTGTATTATCGGGGGAATGACATGGCTTCATTGGAAAGATAGCGGAGTTGTTTCTCGTTGCCTTCTCAATGCTTTTTAATACTATGTATGTTAATGTCATTATTGATCATGGCTCTCCACAGATTCCTTTTCCGTATTACTAGTGACTTGACATGGCTTCTTTGGAAAGACAGTGGAGCTGATTATCGTTGCCTTCTCCATGCTTTTTAATACTATGTATGTTAATGTCAGTATTGATCATGGCTCTCCACAGATTCCTTTTCTGTATAACCTGTGACTTGATATGGCTTCTTTGGAAAGATAGTGCAGTAGTTTCTCGTTGCCTCTCCAAGATTTATAATCCCATGTCCCTTAATGTCACAAGTGATCATGGCTCTCCACAGATTCCTTTTCTGTGTGATTTGTGAATCTATGTCTTATTTAATCCCGAAATCTAAATATTTTGTACGTTATTTTATGCCTTCAAATACAGATATTTTATACATAATTTGATACATTTCTGGTAAATATATGTTTTTTTTTTAGATATAATTTGTAGATGATTGTTGTGTCGGAAACCTACCACCCCTCTTGAAGATGAACTTGTCTGCGTCTGTGAACAAAGACTTTAAATAGTGACATGTCAGTTGACATGGGGAAGATAGATAGACAGAGAAGTTCTTAGCTGAGCTAATTATTGACTACTCAGGCGATTTCTGTACCTTTTTACCAACCTATTAAAACCTTTTTATTTGTCTCTACTAACCCCAAATCAACATCATAACAATGATAAAATATATTCTTGGTATTTTTATAAGATTATCTTGCTGATGATTTTACAATGAAACGTATTTTTATATTTTTTAAGTTTTGTAATGATTGTCATTTTGCAATAAAATGTATTGTTGGTCATATCTCCTCATTCCAGAAATTTCGACAAATATAGTCATTATTTATGTGTAGGATGATTTTCGTTTGTTCCTTTCCTTTATGTAGTCCGAGTGTGGCCAAGATCCAAATGTATCAGAACCAGTTTTAGGTTGGAAGTTTTCGTTTAGCTTCATATAAACCTCTATGGGTTATTTGTTGCAGAAATTTATTTTTTTTACGCAATTTTTTTTTTTAGATAATAGTAGTTTATTGATACAAGTCTTACTATTTAACCCATAGTTGGGGGATTCATATATTTTCCAAGAGTATTTGCGCGTAAGTGAATACAATCAACTCGACTGGAATTGAAACTCGGCTCTCCAAGTAAAAATTCCGAGCCATTATACATTATACAACCCTCACATCCAAGACAAAATACATCATCTGATATTTGAAGTGATCATCTATGTAGGTACTTTTGAAGTTTCGATTCCAAACCTAACTGAAAAACGATAAATATTTCAATATGTATGTCGTCGTCGGCATCCGTTCATCTCTCAGACAATGGAGTAGCGCGGTACGCTGCGAAATAATTTGAGCGGGATATATGGAGAACTTCATTATTGCCCAGACGTCAAACAAAATTTGTGTCTCGGCCTTGCACTATTTCAAGTCAAAGAGGATAATAAAATTTGAACAGTTTAATACCAACAAACTGCAGGATTGCCGGAAAATACATTGCCGTCCATCCGCCTTACGAATTTGTCCACTTATTTGAATTCAGAATGTCCTTCTCCTGAACCAGTTGCCATCCAAAACTATAAAACCTTTTTGTTTAAAAACGTTTACCCATAACAGGAGGGGAAGAAGAGGAATCTCACCAGTATAGGGTATTTAAAATGTAATGTGGATCATTCGAACTCAACTCCATAATTCCTCAATCCAAAATTTATCCATTACTCCATCGTCTATGTAAGCGTATAATATTAGTTTTTCAATACAGGCCTTTGGAGATATATTTATATACGGACTCCACATCCAAGAAATTCCGACAAAAATAGATATTATTTATGTAAGAGTTACATAGTTTACATAGGGGACTTCCTTCAGTGCGGGATAATTTTCGTTTTTCTCTTTCCTTTATGTAGTCCGAGTTCAGCCAATGTCCAAGCGTATCTCTACCAGTTTTAGGTTCGTTGTTTGTTTTTGTTTAGCGGCATATCAACATCTACGGTTTGGTTTAGTTTGTTTTGTTTTACACCATATCAACCACAATGGGTTATTTAATGACGACAAAATTTACTCTTTTTTTTTTCGAAAATATATAGCTGTTAATATTTAAAAAAAAAAATATATATATAGTTTGTTTTGTTTTGTGACATAATAACCTCAATGGGTTATTTAATGCAGACAAGATTTTTATTTTTGGTAGTATTTTTTTTCAAATATTTATTGCTGATACTAATTTTTTTTAAAGTATTTCTGGTATTAAAATCTATTTTTACACTTTCCATCGCTGGGACCCTAACAGGTGCTACCACCCCGGTTCAGGGTGGACCTGGAAACAACAGCAATTAAGAGGTGGTTCTACGCTACTCAAAACCTCTTGATCAAAGCCCTTGCTGTTGGACGTAGTTTATCGTCTTACCCAGGATGCGGATGTAGTTTATCGTCTTACCCAGGACGCTCAACATCTACGGGTTATTTATTGCAGAAATTTAAATATTTTTACGCAATTTTTATTTAATCATTTTTTTAGATACTAATGGTTTATTGGTACAAGTCTTATTATTTAACCCATAATTGTGGGATTCATACATTTTCCAGGAATATTTGCGCCTAAGTGAATATAATGAACTCGACTAGAACTGGAACTCGGCTCTCCCATTAAAAATTCCGAGCCATTATACATTAAACCACCCGCACATTAAGCATTACAGCACCTGGTGTTCCCAAGCGGTCACCCATCTATGTACCGACCAGGATCAACGTTGCTTAACGTCTGTGATCGTACGGGAACCGGTGTTTAACGTGATGTGGCCGTAAGCTCCAAATTATTTTCTAAGTGTAGCTTAGATTTGACTCAAGGCCGAAAGCGTGAAGCACCCAGTGAGGATCGAGCTCGCTACTCAGTGGTAATTGTTCTAAAGAGACATGGTTGTTAACCATTACACACGTCAAAGTGTCCTAGCGGCGTAGATAAAGATGTACTTCTTTGCCCGAGTCACGCTCCTATGGCTCTACGACCTCACCTAGCCACGTGATAGTTGTTGATGATAAGGAGGAGGAGAATTTCTTTTGGAAAAGCCGAAATATAACTCTTCTGTGAATTACCATGACTCCTTGGGAAAAAAAAATAATAGGCAGTGCTTTCCTGTCCACATCTCCACGCTTTTCAATTCGTAGTATTTCTTCTGGACAGGCTACCAACCAATTTAGAGAACCCAGTCTACCCTCTTTTACCTTTTTAGATATGTAGGAAACGATACGATCTACATGAGACGTTCGTTTTACAGAAATATCGATGGGTGATGAAATGAAAACGTTAGACATATTAGATTGACGCAGAAACTCCCGGTAGCATAATTCGTGAAAAGAATTAAATTTATTTGTTTGATTTTTATTATCTGTACGAAGCGCATTTCTTGTGCTGTCAAACAACTTTGCCTCATTTACCCGCGAAAAACTTCGTAAGCTAGGAAAATTGGTTTCAAATAGACTGACAGATACTTACACAATCCAGCGCTGAAAGATTTGTTTTCATTTCATGATCGACTAGGAAAAAGTTGGTCTTGACAGCCTAGTCATTAGCAATCATGACAATGTTTCAAAAGGAAAAATATAAATACTTTTTCCGATTCAGAATAGAATTGATCATCAAAATCTGAAATTAATATATTGGTTGTGATTGTACGAAGACGTTTTCCTTTTGTTTTTTCAATGCTTGTGGGATCTCTATTTCTTTATGAAATTATTTCCAGAGCTTTTCTGAAAATCTTTGAAGCAATTACTAATAGATTCTAAAATGCCCGGGTTGATTGATTAATCGTCTTACCCAGGACGCTCAACATCTACGGGTTATTTATTGCAGAAATTTAAATATTTTTACGCAATTTTTTAGATACTAATGGTTTTAGATACTAATGGTTTTAGATACTAATGGTTTATCTGTTTAACTGCATTTGATGCCGAAATTTAATTTTCTTAGGAGCTTCAAAGTAATAAAAATATGATATGTTATTCTCCTTTCACAATTGAATGTATGGTAGATAATACTCAGCTTTTATATATACACATGTTTGTATAAGCATAATTATTAGAAGGAGTGATGTGTGTCTTATGGTTTTTTTTTTTGTTGAAATTATATTTTTGAATATTGTTTGATTTAAGAAATTGGGGCTTATAATATGGTTTAATACCATGAAATGTTTTATGTTGGTTATTTGATAGTATTTTAAACGGATTGTTGGTAATTTATATAAAAATGGATTGTTGGTATTTTTACTATAAAAATGTATTTTTATACTTTTATAGTGTTTTTTTGTTGTTGTTGTTTTTTTTGTGTGTGTGGGGGGTGACTATTTGCTCCTTAACTGGGGCACCAACAGGTGGTATCACGCTGAATCAGGGTGGACCGGGGAACAACATTTCAGAGGTGGCTTCACGCTCCTCAAAACTTCCAATTCTCCCAATCAGCGGCCTTGCTACCGAATGTAGTTTAACGTCATACCCAGGAATATAAAATGCCCAATTATTGATTATTATTATTAGTAGTAGTAGCAGTAGTTATATCTTGCTTGTTCCTCTGTTCAATAGTTAATTCGTATGTACATTACGTCCTGCCAATACATCATAACTAATCGATGTTTCCGTTTCGTTCGCAAGGAAAGACGGAAAAGACATACCAGAGACGGACGCTTTTTGGTTTCAAATGAAGAAAGAAAAGGAAAAAAAAAAGAGAAAGAAAGACGCGATAACGCTGTCTTTTCTTTAAATTCTTCTCCAGTGAAATGGAAAATAATTGTAAAATTAATTACTTAAATAGAGACAAAAGAACATCATTATGATCATCCCACCCTTGACTTTTTACTCAAATCGAGACAGAACATCATTATCATCATCATCCCCTTGACTTTTTACTCAAATCGAGACAGAACATCATTATCATCATCATCCCCTTGACTTTTTACTCAAATCGAGACAGAACATCATCATCATCATCATCCCCTTGACTTTTATAATCGTAGTGAGGATCCGAAGGCAGAAGCCACGCTAAATCTCCTCCACAACAGTCTATCAACGACAGCTATCATCAATTCTTGTATAGTCATACCAGTCTATCGTATGACATTGTCCAAAAAGGTTTTACGTTGGCGTCCACTCCTATGTAAACTTTCAACGATGCCTTGCACGATGCTCTTGCACAGGTTGCCTTGTAATTTGTCTAAACCCTACCATTTTTTTCCGTTTGACAGTAGTGAAAAAAGGTTCTTGGTAGTCCACAAACTCATTGGTTTTATGTTCCCAAAACCAATGAGAAGAGAAA